TGTCTCTCTTGTACTGGGTGGCCCAGAACTGGACACAGTACTCCAGGTGAGGCCTCCCCAGGGCTGAGGAGAGGGGCAGGATCACCTCCCTCCACCTGCTGGCAACACTCTGCCTCATGCACCCCAGGAGACCATTGGCCTTCTTGGCCACAAGGGCACACTGCTGGCTCATGTTTCCTCGGGGGTCCCCAGAAAGTCTCCACAACTTCCAACAAGGCCCACAAAAGGCCCAGGCAGAGCCCAGACACTGCTGCGCAAACTGCTGCGTCTGTTCGCTGCCTCTGTTGGCTGCGCTCTGGGAGCTGCGCTCTAGGCCTGGCTCTTATATAGGCCTCTGCCTAGCAGTGACTCACAAGGGTGCTTGACCCACCCAATCAGGAGCCACCTGAAACAAAAGCCCCAACTCCCTCTGACCAGGGCAGCCCAGAGAGCTCGTTAGCAGCAGCCCCACCTAGCTAGAACTTCCCAGGAGAAGTTAAGTCAAGGTCCCCTGCAGGAGTCCTTGCCCAGCTCTCCCTTCCTGCTAGCAGCAAGCACCGTCTAGTTCCTCGGGGGTCCCCAGAAAGTCTCCACAACTTCCAACAAGGCCCACAAAAGGCCCAGGCAGAGCCCAGACACTGCTGCGCAAACTGCTGCGTCTGTTCGCTGCCTCTGTTGGCTGCGCTCTGGGAGCTGCGCTCTAGGCCTGGCTCTTATATAGGCCTCTGCCTAGCAGTGACTCACAAGGGTGCTTGACCCACCCAATCAGGAGCCACCTGAAACAAAAGCCCCAACTCCCTCTGACCAGGGCAGCCCAGAGAGCTCGTTAGCAGCAGCCCCACCTAGCTAGAACTTCCCAGGAGAAGTTAAGTCAAGGTCCCCTGCAGGAGTCCTTGCCCAGCTCTCCCTTCCTGCTAGCAGCAAGCACCGTCTAGTTCCTCGGGGGTCCCCAGAAAGTCTCCACAACTTCCAACAAGGCCCACAAAAGGCCCAGGCAGAGCCCAGACACTGCTGCGCAAACTGCTGCGTCTGTTCGCTGCCTCTGTTGGCTGCGCTCTGGGAGCTGCGCTCTAGGCCTGGCTCTTATATAGGCCTCTGCCTAGCAGTGACTCACAAGGGTGCTTGACCCACCCAATCAGGAGCCACCTGAAACAAAAGCCCCAACTCCCTCTGACCAGGGCAGCCCAGAGAGCTCGTTAGCAGCAGCCCCACCTAGCTAGAACTTCCCAGGAGAAGTTAAGTCAAGGTCCCCTGCAGGAGTCCTTGCCCAGCTCTCCCTTCCTGCTAGCAGCAAGCACCGTCTAGTTCCTCGGGGGTCCCCAGAAAGTCTCCACAACTTCCAACAAGGCCCACAAAAGGCCCAGGCAGAGCCCAGACACTGCTGCGCAAACTGCTGCGTCTGTTCGCTGCCTCTGTTGGCTGCGCTCTGGGAGCTGCGCTCTAGGCCTGGCTCTTATATAGGCCTCTGCCTAGCAGTGACTCACAAGGGTGCTTGACCCACCCAATCAGGAGCCACCTGAAACAAAAGCCCCAACTCCCTCTGACCAGGGCAGCCCAGAGAGCTCGTTAGCAGCAGCCCCACCTAGCTAGAACTTCCCAGGAGAAGTTAAGTCAAGGTCCCCTGCAGGAGTCCTTGCCCAGCTCTCCCTTCCTGCTAGCAGCAAGCACCGTCTAGTTCCTCGGGGGTCCCCAGAAAGTCTCCACAACTTCCAACAAGGCCCACAAAAGGCCCAGGCAGAGCCCAGACACTGCTGCGCAAACTGCTGCGTCTGTTCGCTGCCTCTGTTGGCTGCGCTCTGGGAGCTGCGCTCTAGGCCTGGCTCTTATATAGGCCTCTGCCTAGCAGTGACTCACAAGGGTGCTTGACCCACCCAATCAGGAGCCACCTGAAACAAAAGCCCCAACTCCCTCTGACCAGGGCAGCCCAGAGAGCTCGTTAGCAGCAGCCCCACCTAGCTAGAACTTCCCAGGAGAAGTTAAGTCAAGGTCCCCTGCAGGAGTCCTTGCCCAGCTCTCCCTTCCTGCTAGCAGCAAGCACCGTCTAGTTCCTCGGGGGTCCCCAGAAAGTCTCCACAACTTCCAACAAGGCCCACAAAAGGCCCAGGCAGAGCCCAGACACTGCTGCGCAAACTGCTGCGTCTGTTCGCTGCCTCTGTTGGCTGCGCTCTGGGAGCTGCGCTCTAGGCCTGGCTCTTATATAGGCCTCTGCCTAGCAGTGACTCACAAGGGTGCTTGACCCACCCAATCAGGAGCCACCTGAAACAAAAGCCCCAACTCCCTCTGACCAGGGCAGCCCAGAGAGCTCGTTAGCAGCAGCCCCACCTAGCTAGAACTTCCCAGGAGAAGTTAAGTCAAGGTCCCCTGCAGGAGTCCTTGCCCAGCTCTCCCTTCCTGCTAGCAGCAAGCACCGTCTAGTTCCTCGGGGGTCCCCAGAAAGTCTCCACAACTTCCAACAAGGCCCACAAAAGGCCCAGGCAGAGCCCAGACACTGCTGCGCAAACTGCTGCGTCTGTTCGCTGCCTCTGTTGGCTGCGCTCTGGGAGCTGCGCTCTAGGCCTGGCTCTTATATAGGCCTCTGCCTAGCAGTGACTCACAAGGGTGCTTGACCCACCCAATCAGGAGCCACCTGAAACAAAAGCCCCAACTCCCTCTGACCAGGGCAGCCCAGAGAGCTCGTTAGCAGCAGCCCCACCTAGCTAGAACTTCCCAGGAGAAGTTAAGTCAAGGTCCCCTGCAGGAGTCCTTGCCCAGCTCTCCCTTCCTGCTAGCAGCAAGCACCGTCTAGTTCCTCGGGGGTCCCCAGAAAGTCTCCACAACTTCCAACAAGGCCCACAAAAGGCCCAGGCAGAGCCCAGACACTGCTGCGCAAACTGCTGCGTCTGTTCGCTGCCTCTGTTGGCTGCGCTCTGGGAGCTGCGCTCTAGGCCTGGCTCTTATATAGGCCTCTGCCTAGCAGTGACTCACAAGGGTGCTTGACCCACCCAATCAGGAGCCACCTGAAACAAAAGCCCCAACTCCCTCTGACCAGGGCAGCCCAGAGAGCTCGTTAGCAGCAGCCCCACCTAGCTAGAACTTCCCAGGAGAAGTTAAGTCAAGGTCCCCTGCAGGAGTCCTTGCCCAGCTCTCCCTTCCTGCTAGCAGCAAGCACCGTCTAGTTCCTCGGGGGTCCCCAGAAAGTCTCCACAACTTCCAACAAGGCCCACAAAAGGCCCAGGCAGAGCCCAGACACTGCTGCGCAAACTGCTGCGTCTGTTCGCTGCCTCTGTTGGCTGCGCTCTGGGAGCTGCGCTCTAGGCCTGGCTCTTATATAGGCCTCTGCCTAGCAGTGACTCACAAGGTGCTTGACCCACCCAATCAGGAGCCGCCTGAAACAAAAGCCCCAACTCCCTCTGACCAGGGCAGCCCAGAGAGCTCGTTAGCAGCAGCCCCACCTAGCTAGAACTTCCCAGGAGAAGTTAAGTCAAGGTCCCCTGCAGGAGTCCTTGCCCAGCTCTCCCTTCCTGCTAGCAGCAAGCACCGTCTAGTTCCTCGGGGGTCCCCAGAAAGTCTCCACAACTTCCAACAAGGCCTACAAAAGGCGCAGGCAGAGCCCAGACACTGCTGCGCAAACTGCTGCGTCTGTTTGCTGCCTCTGTTGGCTGCGCTCTAGCATCTGTGCAGTTTCTTCCTGTTATCCCATTAACATCATGAAATGCAGACCAATGGGATATTGATAGTCAGTCATCTCATGCGTGTTGCAATTACTCTTTCATGTTATCCCCATTCTTACATATCCCTGCAAACTAACAAAGTATGTTAGTGATTTTGAAATCATTAATATTTCTAAACGGTACATTTTAAAATAATATACCGACAAGTCAAACTTCTCAAGGAATGTGGTATTTATTGCTTGACTAAGCTAGTAAATGCATATTTGAAAAGAAAATAGCTTCTAACCTAAGCATTCATTTGCTGATGAATTAAAATCACCAAGTTATTCAGCACAACTCAAACTGAAAAAGCTGAAAAAGCATTTATTGTACAGGCCCCTGCTATAATAGGAACATCATTGTTTCCCTTTCTGCTGGTCTCACATGTTCTTTTTAATCTTGATTATTTGTCACCCTGTTAGGGACTTCTTATGGTAATGAAATTCTTTTGTTAGTGATGTAACCTGAGTCTTTTGCTGGATTTTTTCTTCCTACATAACTTATGATTGCGGTTATAAAGATTGTGGTGTTTTTTTTTTTTTTCTGAATTGCACAATTACTGATTGTTCTAAAGAGACACATGTTCCTAGCTGTTGCTAGGTGGCAAATGCTCTTAAAGATTTTGCAGGCTACAGATTTTTTCAAACCCTCAATCCTCCATATTTGCTTTATGACCCACAGGAACATACAAAAATATTCAGCACTAGGATAAAAGTTTTGAAAGAGAAAAAAGGTTTTGCTGCAAAGCTTAACCCAGGTCAATTAAGACTTAACTACAGGTCAATTTAAGACTTTCATAAGGGATGATTATCTTATATCTGCTTACTCTGAGGTTGCTCCTACCTTCTTCGAAAGACTCATGTGTTAGCTATTGTTTAGAACATGATCCCAGATGGAATGAGCTTCAGCCATAGTACTATGAAAAATATAAAAGTGTGAAAGTGCGGTCGCATGGAGTGCAAGGAAAAAACCCCAAGTTATTGCTTATTTTAAGCTTATCTAGGAACTAATTTTGCCTGATATCTAACAGTAGCATTGAGAGTTCCAAAGTGTATACAAACTCATTGATAAATCCATTATATAGAGTTTATCTGAAAAAGATCCTGTATTCTAAATCTTAGCCCCATGCAAATCTACCATTCCTAGAGTATGATTTTGTAAAACTACTCTTTAACTCCTACTAACAGTTCTAGTGGAAACTTTATTTTTCAGATATCCCTTTTGAAATAAGGGCAAATTCAAAGCTGAATTTAACTGATGAGACTTTTCACCTCCAAAAGCTGTCACACCAACATCAGTAGGCTTTATCCTCATATCTACATACCAGGAATATTTATTAAAGGACAAGACAAGGAAACTATGAATAAGAAAAGAAAACCAGACTCATCAGTTGATAACAGAATAGTTTCAGCTTCTCCTGCAGTATCTCATATCAGTGCAGAAATCAAAATCTGATTCTCACACAGCAAGACTTTAATGAAGGTAGTTACTGCAGTTCCTCAGTAGTCTCTAGCTATGGAAAGCCTCAACTCGGCACTTAAAGCCCTGCTCAGTCTTGAAGCAGTTATCTCAAATAGTCCTGCTCAGTGCATCTAGAGGTTTCAGAAAATTTAGCTGTTGGACTTTAAGGACATTCTATAGAATGTATCTGAAAAGCAGTTTTCAGAAATTTATACTTCAGCCAAACTTAGGCAAACTGTTATAGGGACTATAAAAGGCACTTCTCTGACTGTCCCATCCTATTTACATACCTGTCATTAAATTTCACTTTCTTGAGCCAGCCTGGATCTTCTCAGCAAAACAACGGTAAGAATTATTCAATTTTGAAAAACGTATTCCTTCCCTAACCTCATTTTTTTAATGAAGCTATGTCATTTCTCCTGAAAGTTAAACAAATGAAGCATTCTGAGACGAGCACCTGTCTGGGAGAACCACCTCAAAGTTTTGAAGTTCAGCATACTTACATGCAACTGAAAGCATGGGTCTTATAATGGAAGTCTTAGGCAACTTGAGTTGTATCCATTGGTGTATCCTTTTCCTTGCCAATAAAGTCTCATACTAACACTACTAACACTAAAGAAATCTTACAGGGCTGAAAATTGTTCTCTTGTTCTCTCCTACCTCAGATACATAGCTGCTACAATCACAGGTGGCTTGAGGAAGAAACTTCAGTGAAAAGGTGGGAAAATATTCCTCAGACCTTGGTTTTAACTATCTTCCTCTAACCGATTGGTTGACTTAAGCTTTTATGCTCTTTGCCTTCAGCATGTCATAGGAAATTTACACTTTATACCTAGATATATTATCAAAAATAAGCTACTTAGAACAGAAGTCTGTTGATGGTACTTGGATTTGTGAACCATACTGGGGTCTTACACTTTTTGGAGAACTAGCATGGGTAACTGTATTCTTATGTGCTGTGTATACTTATGTGCTTATGTGTAGTCAAGCCAAGATGGGTTGTCAAACACTGATTTTCTTCACAGTAGTCATAAGGATTCAATCATTACATCATCACAGAAGTGTTTTGGAGAGAGACCACATTTGGTAGCATGGCCAAATAGTTGTTATTTGCTGAAGACAGCTGCCACCTTTTAAACTCAAAGGGAGCCACTGACTGAAATCACTCTGGCTGCATGGGTACATGGGCATTTTGAATAAGCATTCAGGATAAAAATGGACACTAACTGTAGTCCTTTAAATATGTCCATACATTATGTTTACATCCCCTTCTTCTTCATAATTTGTGTAACAACTCTTACAATCATATTGTGAAACTAGTAATTCATAAAATAACAAAAATGTTTAGCCACTTCATAAAATACTGTTTAGAAAATAAATATTAGCTTTGTAAAGTGAAGTATTTTACTATGGAGTAGGTGGTAAACATAAAAGATTGTTTTTTAAAGAAGTGTTCTTTATATTATTTGGAGATAATAATCATTAATAACAAAGATTAGACATTTGAGGAAAACTTGCCTTCTATCTTCTAACATTTCTCAAAACCTTAAAAGTTTTAGTAGCCTTTAAACTACGGATTTTACAGTTTCACTCTAACACTGAAGCAAAAAAATGATTGTCAAGTTTTAGAGGAAACTGGAGGTAATCAAAGTAAGTCTAAATCTAGGTAAGTCTAAGCTACTCTAAGATTACTTTAGAGTAGATTTCTAATTTTCATCTGGAAAGATGATTGATGTGCTTTCCCCTTCCACTCTGCTCCAACTTTATCCTCACCTGGAGGAAAGAGAGAGGGAGCTCAAGGAAAGCAATCTGATCCTTAGCCCTAATCTGATCCTTAGCACTAAGCTCTGCATTCCAGACTACAGCTGGTATATCTAGGAATATATATATCTATCTAGGAAGCAATGGAGGCACTACTTCCTGTTACCTCTGCATATTTGGGATGTCCTACGTGGGAGGATAAAAGAGCAATTACCAGCTTTTGGAATCCATCCTCAAAGTGTTATTAATTTAGGTAATTCCTATGTCTTATTTGATTAATTATAAATATACATGTAAAACTGCTCAGTTACCAAATTTACTGAAAAGTCCTCTGATCTCATCAGCTATTTTTTCCAGCATTTCCTTGTTCTCTGTGCTGTGTTTCCTAGACCAACTGCTCTTTGGGCCACAAACTTTTAGGTTCTTCTTCACAACACACAAGTTCAAACCTGTATTGACTGATTTCATTGTTACATGGTATCTGCTTTACTATGTATGTCTCAACAATGCACACATAACAGCTCTAACAACCTGTTTCCTAAGGGTTAGACACAAGGTTTCTCACAGTTGAAAAGGTTTCTGCCCTCATTGGTGACCTTATTCCAGTCAAAATGACCAGATTAGCAAAAACAGTTTTACCGTTTAAGCTTAACCTTAATCTCATTTTGCTTTAAATAGCCCAGGGAAAACACACACACACACACACACATCTTAGCTGGAAGGTAAGAGGAGGTGCTATTCCATCACCTGGACAGTGATGACTGGCTAGAAGGTAAGCTGAGGCTGATTGGCAACCTCTTCAGACAAGTCAAAGTACAGGTGGAATAAGATGTGTTTACTCATTAGTACATTTCATATCATTCCCATTAAAGCTAAGAGGCCATCATCCATGGCCTAACTATGCGTAAAAGCTCAAAACAGCTCTCCTTCTTAGGAGAGTTGTCATTGTCGGGGCACATGGGACATTAGAGAACAGACTGAGACTTTTGGCTCAGCCATGTGCTGGGCTGTTTTCTCCTACAAAAGGTGCATCAGGAAGAAGAGGGAGAGATGAAGAGCTAGACTAGGGAACATGAGAAAAGCAGGGACTTAACAATGCTGTGGTTTACCTTTTATGTGGGAACCCAAGCTTGTGGGAGATCATGGACAGAGGAGCAGAAGGTGTCCCATCCTTGGGTAAAGTCTAGAAGAGATATGAGGAAGAATAGATTGACCTGTTCATAATGCTGTGGGGATACGAAACACTTCCTTCCCCTTGATAACTGACAAAGTTATGAGGTTAGAAATATAGTCCATTAGGCATGACTCTTGTCCTCTATCCTTGTACTTCAGATACCTTTCAGATAACAGGTAGAGGTGAACAGTAGTAGCTATCTAGAAACTGCAGTGGCCAGTGGTCCTCCTCCTGCATTATAGGAGTGAGGAGCATTTTCTTTGGGATGGTGGGCTATTGCTTTCCTGAATCTGTCACATGGGCTGAGAATGATAGGAGAAAAACATTCTAGCTCTGTGCGTTATACATTTAGACTGCTCCCTCTGAAGTGTGTGTTGTCATGCCAAAGGTGTAGTTGTTATCTATCACAGTGGCTCATTCAAATTGCCTTAATATAATTAAAAAGCACAATTAACCTCCAGGCTATCATGTTTGAAGATCTCCTCAAGATATCTTCAAAGATGTCAGTATGCAGCATTCTAGAGCTTTTCAATTGTGTTAAATTAAAACCATCACAAAATGCACTGTTTGTCTAACACAGGACCTGGAAGCAGAGCATGTGGTTTCCACGTTTAAACTGGAAGGACATGAAGTGAGAGAGCTAGACAATGTTGTCACTAGCTTGACTTACTAATGCTACTTCTCTAGTGAAGGCAAAAGGAAAGGAGAAGACAGTGGTAGATTGTGAATAGGACTTCTGCCTGCAGAAAGCAGTTGCAAAATTCCTACTCACAAATCAGGACGTTTGCCCAATCTGAGTAGAAAAGGATTTTAAAATGCTATTTTTGTTGTCTTTTTTTTTTTTTCCTCAGGACAAAACTTGTTTTCTTTTTCAATGTGAAGTAAAATGGTGCAGGGAAACTATATCCCAAAGGAATGTAGTTGTCTCTCCCTCTCTCTTGCACTACTGACACTTTGTCTGATGTATGCCTCAGCTCATACAATCCAAAGTCCCCTGTACAGCCTTGTGGAGTTTGCATCCAGGCTTGTCCTAAGCACTAAAACATAATAGAAGACAATAAATGTTCTGGAAGGCTTAGAATCAAGGTATTGAGAAAGATATAAAGGGAGAACAAATGATGTGGAAAAGAATGAGAGATGTTTTAAGTAAATGGATAGAATTTCAGAGAAACAGAGGAAAAAAAACAAGAAATCACAAGTGTGTTCTAAACCACTTTTATCAAACATGACTCACATTTATTTCAAAGTCTACCCCACCATCTAAATGATTTTGTACCACAGTAGATTTAAGTCTTCAGTTCTTTCCTGTAATACTTGATGCTGTAAAGGTGTCATTTTAGAAAGTATGATATGAGACCATGTTTAGAAAATATGATATGAAACCAATTTCCTGAAGAGCTAGGAATAGGGTCATACTTTTATCTAGGGTTATACTAGTAGTTCTGACAATTTTCTTTTTTAATAAATATGGAAGACTCTGTAGGACAACAGATGCTATCCTTTTTAACCTTCTGTCCAGGTTTCAATATTTAGCTAGAGATGTTGTAATCAAATAGGTCAGAAGTGTTTCTGAAGACAGAAAATGAGACAAAATCTTTGTAAAAAATGTAAAAAAGCCAAAAGACATTTTACACAGTTGTTTTGTCTGAGCTCAGAGTAGTTAAACACAAATCAGTTCTGACTAGGAAACTAAATAGCTATGTTAGAGTAGTTCGTGAGCCTAAATCCTAAGTAGGGCTTGTTGGCTCCATGCATTGAGTTACCCCCATTCTGGACTAGAGCTGCTCTGCACCTTGGTAGTTTGGATCACAGCCATAAGAGCTTGCTACTGTTCCCACAAGTTTGGGCAGACAGGCCTGTAGAAGAATCAGCATTATCAAATACATAGTCAGATTAGATGAGTAAGCAGTCATGCATTGATATTTCTAGACTATAGGTCATAAACTAATGTGGGGAGGTGAGTTTAGTCCGTTCCTAAAGCCAAAGAAAACATTCATTCATTTGAAAATATTTTTGCATTCTTCTTGCTAAATCATCCATAGATGTTCTGCTTTAGCACCAAAGCTGGGTAATGTCAGATACATATGAAAGTTGTCCTCTAAACCAGCCAATGTGCAGGCATAGGAAACAAATCATTGAAAGGAGGGAGGTGAGTTTTTCACTGGGAGGCTGCAAAAGGGGAAGAAGAAATTTAATTTAATACAGCTAACCAACCTTTGCAGAGATCACATAAAATAAACTAATCTTGACTTAAATAATCTTCAGTAATACAGTGACTGTGTAGCTAACTTTCCAGTTCCCCCTGTACCCGTGTCCCTGATTTCCTGCCTGGGACTACCCTTCCCCTCAAATTTGTGCTGGCTAGGGTGGGTGAAGCAGAAGTCTGGCTACGCACCTGGACTCTCGTTTTCTGGAAGGCTACCCAAGCCCTGCAGCCACTGCAGAGCGTGGACCCTTGCCCCAGCTGCAAACATGCACAGGGAAGAGACTTCCACACCCAGGCACGGATCCTCGAACCTGGGTGTTTCGACCCTCCGACGCCGCCATCCTGGGAGAGGCCGCCTACCTACGGCAAGGAAAACGCAAACCAGGTCGGGGCGGCTGCCGAGGGGGCAAGCACCAGTCCTTCCTCCAGCGGCTCGAAAGTTCAGCGTAGAGCCCTGCGTGGGCAGCGGGGAGGTAGCGAGGCTGATACGGGACACGGGTGCCACTCACCCGCCCAGTCCCGGGAACACGGCCGCAGCACGGCTGCACTCGCTTACCCGCCGCGTGGGGGGGAGGGGCAGCCGGGAGGCTAAGCGCGCTCGCCT